ATATTAAAAAAATGTTTCAAAAAAGAATATATCTTTGTAAACAATATTTCATGCCATATTGATCTTTATTATTTTTATAATTTTATTTTTAAATTATCTGTACACCCAACACAGGGCTCAAACTCACAACCCCAAGATCAAGAGTCACCCCGTTCCACCAATGGAGCCAGCCAGAAGCCCCTGCTCTTTACTTTAAATGACTTAATTTTATGCCATAAAAAATAAAACACATTTTTTTAAACTCGCCAGGAAGACTTCTGTGATTTTACATTCTGCATAGACAGAGGCCCAAATAATAGAGGGAATTTTGCCCCAGCAATTATAAAATTAAGCTGGAATGATGTTTACTTGAATGGGAAAAGGAATCTTCTGTATGAAGCCTCACAGTTTTCTTAAACTAAATAGATTCAGTAAACCAATAATTCCAGTTCTGGTCATTAAATATACAGACACTGCTACCCCAAGTTTTTTCCAAATGAGTGTGGGGTGAGGCGCAAGATCAGCAGTGATCTCTAGAAACCTGTGTGCTCTTGAGTTTTCTAGCACAGAGCACTCTCCCTTTGCTGTCAGTCCAGCCAGTAAACAGCCTTCTGATTTAAAAACCGGCCACACCTCAGCGGTTGGTAAATCAGTCCCAGGAGGATCTAGGGAACAGTGCTGGTGCTGTTTGTTATGTTTGTGTATTGTGCAAGGAAATGCCCTAATTTAGTCCTAAAATGGAAATACAGCTACAGTGTGGCAAATAAAAGCGTTTACTGCCTGTCTGTCCTGGAAGCTGCACACGCCCCATGGGGGGGGCAGGTGACTGCTCACCTCCAGTCCCTGCGGGGAGGCCCATCTGTGGCCCCCCTGTCACGAGGCAGTGCTGGAAATCCTACGCAAGGGGAAAGAGACTGGCACAGCTCAGAGCTTCTGCATCGGATCTGACAGGCGATATTTCTCTCTTTTTTTCTTTTATGTGAAAAAACTGTAAAATGAGGGTGTGCATACTGTAGAGGTGGTGTGAGAGCACGCCTTCTGACAACTGTACTGTTTACGGGATGGTTTTGCTTAAATAGCTTTTCAGCGACTTCATCTTTTTTTTTTTTTAATTTTTTTTTCAACGTTTATTTATTTTTGGGACAGAGAGAGACAGAGCCTTGAACAGGGGGGAGGGCAGAGAGGGAGACACAGGAATGGGAAACAGGCTCCAGGCTCTGAGCCATCGGCCAGAGCCTGGCTTCTTGAGCTTCAAACTCACCCAGGACCGCCCGAGATGCGTGAGCCTGGCTGAAGTGGACTAACCTTTCGCCACCAAGCCCCTCAGCGACTTCATCTTTTAGACGTGGAAGGAAAAATACTTCAATAAATTGCATAAATCTTTTCTTAATGTTTATCATTTTTGACAGAGAGAGAGACCGAGCATGGGCAGGGGAGGGGCAGAGAGAGAGAGGGAGACACAGAATCTGAAGCAGGCTCCAGGCTCTAAGCTGTCAGCACAGAGTCTGATGCGGGGCTCTAACCCACGAACCATGAGATCATGATCTGAGCCGAAGTCATTCACTCAACCGACTGAGCCACCCAGGAGCCCCGTACATTTCATAAATATTTTTTAAATTAACATTTGTGGAGCCCACGAGAGCTATGAGGCACGGTGCTCAGGGTTGGGGTTCTCAGGAAGGGGACACCCAGCACCGAGGACAAGGGACATGGGCATCTGTTGGCTACTGTGTCCCACATACAAGGTGCCATTGAAATAGTATCTGTCAGCAGGGTGAGTTAGATGACCATCGCTTCTACATCACCTTCTCCTGATATTATCACTTTGATAACAAACACCCATACGGCAAGTGCTATTACTGCCATCTTATTTTTTTAGATGTTTATTTATTTATTTTTGAGAGAGGGAGAGCAGGGGAGGGGCAGAGGGAGAGGGAGAGGGAGAATCCCAAGAGAATCTGCGCTGTTAGTGCAGAAGCCTGATGTGGGGCTCGAACCCACGAACCGCGAGATCATGACCTGAGCCGAAACCAAGAGTCAGATGCTTAAATGAGTAAACTGGGCGCCCCTATGACCCCCATTTTAAAGATGGGGGACTACAGAGAATTGGGGATGTGAGCCGTGGCCACAGCATAGGCTGTTTGGCTAACGGGCTGGTTACCTTAGGTGCGTTGGTTTGGCAGAAACGGCGACAGCTGGGAGCAGGTGGGAGCATCCCGTGGCCCTGAGGCTCGGTTCGCGGACCCTGCGCTCAAGAGAGGGACCAGATAGGACTGCGCTGAAGCTCCCCTTTCCTGTGCCGACTTGGGTGCCGACATCCCGCCACCAGCGCGACCCGTCTGCGTCCTCATGCTCAGGAAGGCACAGGCCAGCTCTCCAGCGTCTGTCTTCTCTCCTTGTGTCCTTGCGGGGCCGTGGCTTTCAGAAGCCTTGCGGGGCCGGGCTTCCCTCATGTGCCCAGCCAGCACTGAGCCAGGTCATACTGGGGACCCCTGTTCCAGGTCTCTTGTGCCAGAAGCGTCCCGACTTCCCATTTCCGCATTTTGTCCTTTTAAAAATGTTCTTCCTTCTGTTTCTGTTTCTCATTCTCCCTTTACTTATTTAATATCCACCTTTCCCCCTGGGCCACGGGGAAATGATAAGACAGGACATATGTCCGCCCCGGGGCTTCTGGCATACAGCTCAGAAGACACTTGTCATTTCCTAAGTGACAAGAACACTAGCAGCATCTTAATGCTCTAACAATGTGGTCTTTGGCCCCATTTCCCGACTCAGAGCTTGTCAGTCCCTGGGAATTTCCTGGGTGATAAGAGCGCCTTTGATTTAATCAGGGGACTCTTGGTGCACCCCATGTAGGGGCTGCTCACCAGAAGACCAAACCTAAGCTTGGAACTTTCAGTCCCACCCCTATTCTCCAGACTGGGGAGGGGGGCTGGGCATGGAGTTAATGATTGATCATGCCTAAGTGATGAAGCCTCCTGAGAGTCCCAACAGGGGGCGCTTGGGTGGCTCAGTCTGCTAGTTGTCTGACTCTCAATTTTGGCTCAGGTCACGATCTCACGGTTTTTGTGAATTCGAGCCCTGTGTTGGGCTCTGCACTAACAGTGCGGAGCCTGCTTGGGATTCTCTCTCTCTCTCTCTCTGCCCCTCTGCGGCTCACACTGCCTCTGTCTTTCCCAAAATAAATAAGTAAACTTAAAAAAAAAATTTAAAAAAAAATCCCAACAGTACGGGGTTCAGAGAGCTTCTGCATTGGTGGACACATCCATGTGCCGGGAGGGTGGCACACCCCAACTCCACAGGGACAGAAGCCTGCGTATGTGGGACCCTTCCAGACCTCACCCTATGTATCTTTGTCTGGCTGTTCATCCTTGTTCTTTATTATATAATAAACTGGTAAATATACGTATTTCCCCCAGTTCTGTGTTCTGGCAAATAACTGAATCCAAGGCGGGACAGGTGGTCATGAGAACCTCCGATTCGTAGCCAAGTTGGACAGATATTGTGGGGAACCTGGGGACCTGCCACTTGGCATCGCAGGTGAAGACAGTCTGGTGGGACTGAGCCCTTAACCTGTGGTATC